CCGCCCCGCGCCGCCGCGGGGGTGGTGCGTGTGGCGAGAGAGACCCGTAAATACGGTAATACTGACCGGTAAATACGGTAATAGCGACCGATAAATACCCGTGTGCAGCACACATCTATACACATGTGTAACACAGCATGCATATCTGTGCATATTCATGTGCATATTTGAATACATTCGTGTGTTTTACATATGTATATATAATAATTCACATTTTGTTTATAAAATATGTGTATAATAAACATACATGAATACCTTTAATATGTGTGCTTGTATAATGTTTTATGGGAAATGTTTTGTTTCATATGCCTATTTTTATATATGTGTTATACTATTATGTTATTTGTTATGTGTAGAATGTTATATATATGTAGAATGTTTCCCATGTCTGTAATAGTTTGTATATGTCTATTGTGCACGTAACACTTGGCCTGTGTGTAATGCTTTATGTTTGTGTGCTTTTATGTTCCTAATGCTTTTATACATAGCTTGGTTTATATATAATATCAATTACATACAGTATTATTTATATATGTATTGGTTTAGATATATGAATATGTTTGGTAAGTATATGCAAAATTTTTTTTTTTAAAAAGCCCCAAACACTAAAACATCCCCTCAAAAAAGCACTTAGGCCAGGGGCACTGCCCAGCCTTTCCTTAGACCCAGCTGCTGCCTCTTTTATTGTGTGGCAATGGCTATTTTTTAACCTGGGAAAGTGTCCTGAGCTGCAAATTAGTCATTGGCAACAACCCTGTGTTTCTTAAGGGATTCAAGCACCCAGCAGCTCCTGAAGACAGCAGTGGAGTGGCGAGATATATAGGTGTGTGTGTGTGTGTGTATAAAAGAGGCCATGCATGCGTGCTCACACGCAGGTGGGCAACCAGGCTCACCGACTTGTCAGCGCTGGACACGCACCCTTTGCTGAGCCTGACTGCAGGCGCTGACATTTCAGATGCAGCAGCAGCCCGAAGGGAAATCAGAGCTGCCTGCTCCAAAACACTGGCCCTTTCCCCTAGACCAAAATAGACCTGCGCGTGGCTGAGCTGCTCTGCTGCCAGCCGGCTGAGGGTGATGGCAAAGATCCTCAGGGAGCAGCTGCTTGCACAAGGGATCCTCCTTGGGGTCAGCTCCCACCCGGGAGGTTTTGCAGGATGGGTGTTTGTGCTGAATGCCTGGAGATGCCTTTGATCAACAGGTAGCACAGGGACTGCGATTCTGCCTCTTCAGGACGTTAGCGGGCAGGAGTTAACGAGGCAGGAAAAAAGAAATTTATACAATTCCATGGAAGGGGCAGAGGTTTGCAAATGAGCCCTGGAGGAGGCCTTTGTTTTGCCCAAAGCTCATACACCTGCAACTGATTGTTGCTCCATGTTTACAGAGCTGAGAATCAGCAGCAGAGGGATTAAAACTCTGTTTAGCTTTGAAAGAACTTCCTCCTCCTTTCACTAATGCAGTGAGGAGTCACTACAGAGTCAGGGCTTTGCAGCAGATCTTTCACTGCTGGAGTTATTGCCATGCAGAAATTTGGCTGCATACAGTAGGCCCAGCATGTTTTGTGCATAAGCTTGTGTCCATTGCAAAGACACCCAAACAGCCTCTCACACCTTCTCCTGGAGATGCACATAAAACTCACTGAACTATGAACCACTGACAGTTATACTGATGATGCTGTCCATTACCCTTACATCTGCAACACATCTGCATGGTACTGTTTATAAAATGTCTCAGGTTATGGGGTGAATCATGGTATAATTGGGCTGTGATATGAATCTGCAGCAGTAGTAGTGCTGCGGGAGTGAGAAGCAGCACGTGATTACCTGGTAATGCAAAAAATGATGTGTCACCTGAATGCAAATACTGGTGACATTGCTGCTTTACCACCTGGCAAGGGGAGGTTATCTGCACTATATATTCCCGGTGGAGTGCAAAGCAATTTTTTTTTTCTTAAGTCAAACTGAGAAAATCAGAGGAGTCAGGTGGCTCCGTGCCACTGCTGCCGTGAGCAAGGGTATGCGGGGACCCTCCACACACTGTCCCTTCACTTCAACATCGATCCTCGCTGTCCTGCTCCTGTGGAGGATGGGCAGACAGGTGAAGAAGCCATAGTGCCAAGCTAACCCTGCAAATCAGCACAGATAGTGAAATTCAGGGGTGCGGCTGCATGTGAAACACGTTAGATTAGGACAGCGCATAGCAAAAATCAGCAGTGTTGCTTTACAGAAACGCAGCCAGCGCTTGACTACTAGTTGTGACTCGTTCAAGTTCCTACAGGTTGGGGGATTTACAGAGGATTATTTATGTGGTGATTACAGCATGAAGATATGAGTTAAAGGATGCACTTCCAGTGTGAGAATGAAGCCAGTAACACTTGCCCTCCTTCAGAGTAAACTCTGGGCAAGAAAACCCCTTGTGCTGTAAGTGCAGAACCCTTATACCTGGAAACCCAGGATTTCCGTAGCCTGCCCATGTGGGTTTGGGCTGTGTTATGTGATCCACAGGTTCAGGCAGTCTCAGG